ATCTTATCAGCAAGCCTGTCGCTTATGACCGACTGACCGACTTTCAAATACCCTGTAAATTGAAATCGATATTTCCATATGTTGCAGCGCTGATGTACTCGAATGTACGTCCATTTATAACACTAAGCTATGGCCAGAGACTGTGTCGCAGTCGCACCGCAGAGGGCTCGAATCCCACATGGAATGAGCATCTGCAGCTGCAGCTGACGGGTCAGCTCAGCGACTTACGTGAGGATCTGAAGATTAGCCTATTTGACGAACTGATCGAGCAGCAGTACACGGACGAGGCATCCGATCTCTACCAGCGCGTGCAATGCAACTGGCTGGGGGAATATCGAGTGCCCATTAGCAGCCTCTTGGCCAGTCGCAAGGTGAGTGGAGAGACTTGGCTACGTTTACTACTTGACTGGCTGAATCACTAATATAATATACTCTTGCAGTTCGAGGGATGCATTGAGCTGTGCATGCCCAAGGTGCTGGTCGGCTATAAGCGGCCGCTGATTGATTCGGTGACCAATATATCGGTGGAGCAATATCCGGAGTTCAAGGAGAGTGTGCATCTCTGGTTCTATCTGAGCGTGGAGCCGGCCAACCAGGTGAAGCCGCTGCAAATTGGCGGCCTGGCCTGTGCGGAGCTGCCACAACTGCAGCAATATTTGCGCGAGCGCCGCCTGGAGGTGCAACCGCTACTGCCACATCCGCAACGATATGTGGAGCCGTTGATATGCACTTCGCATGGCAAACGCGTGTGCCTCACACGTCTGCTGGAGCCGGTGCCGCTGCCCAGCGAATCGCAGCTGGAGCGTGTTTGTCGTTTTGTCTCCCTGCTCACTCCGGTGCGCAGTTCGCTGGATGGGTGCCAGAACTTTGAAGGCGTTTGGCTGAACAACCAAACGCTGCTGGACAGCACCTGGTGCTCCGTGAAGGATCTGGGCGTGCTGTTGTGCAATTATATGCTGGCATTGGGCCTCGAGTGCTGGCTGCTGCTCGGATTGGCCTGTCCCTATGGCGAGTCCACGTTCGTCATCTACCGACAGCCGGACAGCGGCGAACTGGTGCTAGTGGCGCCCACAACTGGCAAACGCTACCAGCTGCAGGATGTTTTTTGTCCGCTGACACGAGTCTACTCGCTGGTGACGCCGCAGAATGTGAGCTGAGCTGTGCATGCCATCATACATTAGTAAAACTAAATTCATTTTTCACTTAGATCTATATCAATATACAGGCGGAAGAGCGCGTCAGCATGACGAATTTCGATGTGCAGAACAGCGAATGCTGGCTGCCGGTGTTCACCAAGCGGCAGGAGGCGCCACGCGGTGGCATCCAGAAGCGCAACTATGCGTACAAGCGCAGCTATCACCTGAGTCAGCTGCAGAAGCATATCGAGCGCAAGATTATGAAAAAGATAAGCGCCTGGCGCACCACACGCAAAACACTGTGGAACCGGTGGGTATCAAGATATGCCTGTATCCAGTAGCCAGCCGATAATCGATTGTGATCTTCTCCAGTGCCTTTCAGCCACACCTGCTGAGAATTTTGAGTGAAATGGAGAATTTGAGTACGCTCTCAGGCAATCGCTACGATGAGCCGGCCTTCAGTGAGGAGCTGGAGCGCGAGTTTCCCAACTATAGGGTGTGTATGAGCGTGTGTGTGTGTGCGTGGTGTTTCCCTGAAAATCAGTTAATAATATCTTTGCATTTTATCTTTATTGTTATTCAGCTTTATGGCTTTACCATAAACTTTGCCTACACCAACCTGTCGGCGATATCGGAGCGCATTCGCACCAGCTGCATACACTACAACAACAATGCGGCCGTCGAGTTCTGTGTGGCGGTGCACATTAATGCCTATGCCAACGATGTGCTATCCGTTTGGGTGTTTCTGCTGTCAATAGTGCCACTGGTCGCCTAATTGATTGACTCGCCGTGCATCAATGCGGTGTAAATAGCGTCAATGCTCGGTTGTTGATAACGAAATTCGGTGAGCCGGCTGTCTTCGTAGATAATGCCCACAAACGCTAATCAATAATAACAAATTCTTTATCACTCACTGCACGAAAAGCGGGAAAGTAAGTATTTAACTCGATTTACAAACATTTTACGATAACGTTCCTTGTGGCGTGTTTGTGGTTTGTGGTTTCTGGTTTGTGGCTTTTGGTTTGTGGTTTCTTTCGTTTCCCGATTTGGCCGTGTTCCGTTCAGTTCAGTTTTAGTTCACTGCGCACCTTCCGTGCGTTTAGATCGTGTACCGAACTTTGTACCATCGTCGGCTATGGTATCGCCATGCCTTTGAAAATGGCTGAAAAATTTGCGAAATTCCAGCGGTACGTGCTCTGGCTCTACAGACTCTATGAGCTGAACACACAGATAGCCATCTGCGAGCCATGGGAGAAGGTGTTCTGCCGTAAGTAGCTATACCATGAGTGCAGCAGCTATTAATCAGCGATTACCAATCATTAACTTGATGGCTATCATCCAGTCCACCAACTCTCTCTTTCCCTGTCGCTCTCACGGCAACAAATTGTATCTTATCTATTTCGGTCAGTATTTGCCCGTCATAGAGACTATGACTAACTGTTGCGCGAAATGGTGCCATATAGAAAATGTATAGCTTACTATTTACAATAATGTAATCTGTATTATTATAATTGCAGACATACTCATTGGCAGCTGCATATCCCTTATTCTGTATGCCTCGTATGCGTATGTGCCCGGCTATTGCCTAAGGCTGGTTGGGTTTCTAATTCCGCCGGCTGCCACGAATATAAATGACACTTTTAATAATATCAAATGTGCGACAGCGGATGGAATATGCAGTAATAGTGAATCTTACCTTACGTAACATTATTTAGTAATTATTATTAATACAAAAATAATATATATATATAATGAAAAAAATCTGTATTAAAAACATGTTTTTACTATTATTTATATAAAAAATTGTCGAATTAAAAAGAAAGAAAATTAATGAAACCTATTTTATTATTGTTTTGTTAACTACTGTAAAATTATCATTGCATGTACACAAATTTCAAAAATCGATAACACTAATAAATCGCGCGCTAACATTATGCCAATGCTGCCACCCGGCGAATAGCTTCTATTAGCTGGCAGCTCTGCATGAAGTGTTGCTGCCAACTCGCTAGGAAAAAATACAGTAAACCCTTTGCAGCAGCTGGGCGCATTTTATTTACAAAAGTAATTGAAAACATAAACGTTTATGTGAGTAATGTCGAATGACAAACGGACTGTTTATGTTGGTGGATTAGCCGATGAGGTCACGGAAAGGCTGCTGAACAATGCATTTATACCATTTGGCGATATTGCGGACATTCAAATGCCGGTCGACTATGAATCGCAAAAACATCGTGGATTTGCCTTCATTGAGTACGAGAATTATGAAGATGCTGCCTCCGCCATTGACAACATGGTGAGCCCAAGCATTTAGTTTATCAGAGCAATCAGTCAAAGAAGGAGAGATTCTTTTAGAATGATTCAGAGCTGTGTGGTCGTACGATACGCGTCAATCTAGCCAAGCCGGTGCGCGTCAAGGAGGACAGCTTTAAGCCTGTATGGGCGGATGACGACTGGCTGCAAAAGCACGCGGGAGCCACATTACAGGCAGAGGGCGGCGAAACAGAGGAGCCAAAGGAAACGATAGCAACGCCCTCAACAGGGCCAGCAGTGATTGAGAAATCGGAAAAACGAAATCCACAGGTGTTCTTTGATATACGTATTGGAGGCAACGATGCTGGACGCATTGTCATGCTACTGCGCGCCGACGTGGTGCCCAAGACGGCGGAGAACTTTCGGCAGCTCTGCACACACGAGCAGGGCTATGGCTACAAAGGCTGCACATTTCATCGCATCATTCCCGAATTCGTAAGTTGCAGCTGCATCTATGAAAGGCATATGAAAGGCTAATCGACGTCTATATATTTAAATTCCAGATGTGTCAGGGCGGAGATTTCACCAACAATAATGGCACCGGTGGCAAATCCATTTATGGCAAGAAATTCGCCGACGAGAATTTCAATTTGAAACACAACAGCTTCGGCACGTTATCTATGGCCAATTCAGGACCCAACACAAATGGATCACAGTTCTTCATATGCACTACAAAGTAAGGATTTTCAGAAGGCATAACTACTCAGATGACAATACTCCATTTATATATTTCGCAGGACCGACTGGCTGGATAACAAGCACGTGGTCTTTGGTCATGTCATCAGCGGCGCAGATGTGGTACGCAAAATGGAAAAATGTGGAAACAAATCTGGCACCCCCTCCCAAAAGATTATTATCTACGCCTGTGGCGAACTCAAATGAATGTGGCTTAAGAATAAACA